GATGCCTCCGTTTTATTAATACTATTTTTCTTATTTTTAACATTATCATGGTGCCGCGATTGAATGAAAAGATGGCGTTGAGCAGCTTTACGAGGAGATAATTGTCTTGTAGGTTGAGCTGTTAATTTCGATTTATTATTGTCATCTTCTTCCATAGCTTCATCTTTATCTTCTGCTTTACCTCCAATATCTTCGTTCTCGTCCTCTTGCTCCTCTTGATCAGAAAAATCTTCATGCTCCTCTAACTCGACATCTTGATCATCTAAATCTGTATTTGGCTTTTCATCTGTATCCGGAAACAAATGAGCCAAATGTAGTGATTGCTCATTTGGTTCATTTGTTTCCGGATACAGATTTACCAAAGAAACTTCAATCGGCCCGTTTCTGGATTTTAAATGTAGTCTGGTCTTTTTTGCTGAAGGTTCAACCAACTTTGATTCTGGAAGATGTACTTCTACTTGTAAACCGGCAGGTCCTCGAATTGAAAGAAGTGTGTCATCAGGAAAGGAGTTACATAAATCTTTATGTTCAACCCATAAATTAACTTTGTTATTTTTTTCATCAAGGATGTTTAAAATAGACTGTTTAGCCCAAGAAAGATGCTGGTCAATCTCCATTTCTGTATTTTCTAGATCTATCAACTCTTCTTTCAGTTTTAAAAGCTCTTCAGTTTTTTCTCGAGTGTTACAACCAGGTCCAGCACCGAGCCATTGAATTGAATTTTTGGATTTCTTCTCAATTAATCCAATTCCTTCCAATACGTTGGTTATATCATAGATTCGCCGTTTCTGACGGACAGCTAAAATATCAGCAGCCTAATAAGTGTAATAATTTAGTGAGAATGATAAATTAGAACAATATGAACAATATGAACAGATAAATAGACTAAAACAAAATTACCATTTTTAAATCTAGAAGACCATCTTTCGCGTCTTGTAAAAGAGATACAAATCTTGTAGTCAAAAGTGCCAAGCTTTTTTCATGCTTAGAACTGATTTCATTAACAAAAAATTTTAACGGCGCCATCACTAAAAAAAGAGAAGAAATAAACAAATACAAGTCAAATTGAATAATAATGCTGAAAAACTTGAAACTTGATAACGGTTGAACCTGGAAATCAAACGGCAATAGTTACTAGGCAACTTAAGGCTAGGGAAAGAGACCTTCTTGTCTGTCTCTGTCTCTTTCTATTTCTCTTTCTCGTTCAAGCATGAGGGATGAAACTAACTTAAGAGAGAGACTACTGCAAATTTTAGTTTAGTTGTATTGAATGATTTATAGCAGTTCATTGGCTTGAAAGTACATGTCATCCTCCGGCCGGAGAACAACCTGAGGATGACAGTCAAATGCAATGGAAGGAAAGGAAATAAGTTGGATTTGATCTTTTCAGTCTTTTTCAGACAAAAAAAACTTTCGATAAGTGTATTTAGTTTGCTAATCGTGGAATTAGTAGAATCTAATTTTTGTGGAAGTTTTTAAATTGATTCAAACAGGCTTCGAATAATTCAAAAGAAATTGTAAACATTTAATCATATTGACTATAGCCCATGTATTCTTTATCTGGTAGCGATTTGGTGACACATCTAAAATTATAGTGATCCGCAACCTCAGCATAACCTCAGGCCTGAGAATCATTTGAGGTTGTCAGCCAGATTGAACTGATTTCGAGCGAAACATTTTTTACTTAAATAATAGGAGAAATTCAAAATTAGAACCGATTCCTGTTCCAAATTAAATGCAATTTACACTTATAAAGTCATTTATTTAACAAAATTTTGCTTTTATTGACCTTTTTGAAAATATCTCTAACTTAGGTTTGCACAATCTTAACATTTGTGTGCTACATTTGTGCAGTCAGAAAAATGAAAATGAAAATTTACAAAACAAATGATACATTGAGCCAAGTTCAAGAAAAATTAATCGGTTTTACTTAAGTTGATAACACAATCTTCACGAATGCCCTCTGCTTTTGAGTAAACACTTGTTAGCATTCTGATATAACATTTACATGTTATTGGACTCCGCTTTTCAGACATTGCATCACAAAGCTTACCAGCGATTTCCTTCAACACGTCTTTTCTCGTGTTTTTATCGAGCCCATTTAAAAAAGCAGCTGTGTGTGGATCTAGCCATTGCCGAATGATCTGTGCAATTTAAAAAAAACGAAATTAAACAATTAAATTAACAAATTATTTCTTAACATACCTGAGTTGGTTTATTTTCACTGCATTCAGAACATTTCTTTACAAACACAGTATCGATGAAACAGATACAAAGTAAAATAGACAGAATTGAATAAAGGAGATAAGAAATTACGTTAATGCTAATAAAATACATTACCAAATTACAGTAATTAACAGTCAACACCGGTAATGCCTATGCTTCAAAGAAAAGTACAAATAGCGATTTCCACCTGATGAGACTATTCCTACAGAAATATCTGAAGGATTCTAATCATATGATCCTATCTGATCCACAAACATTTGAAGTTCACATTTTGACAATCAAAGAAATGATTGAACTTTATATTTTTTGTTTAATTTCAATTTTTTTATGTATTTTATATATTATTGTTCAATGCTGGCCAGAACAAGGAATCAGTACAGAAAAGTTCAAATGCAAAGCCTGTGAAAATCATGAAGCTGCTAAGGTAAGATCTTGTTTATTGTTTTGTTTACTTTTTATTATTTTGTCTTACACTTATACTATTTTTTTTACTAATTACAGTGGATGAGGACAATACAAACGAAAGAATATGTTAAATTTTTATCTAAGCTCAGCACTTACAACAGGACTATGAGGATAAATCGCGATTTAGCAAAATTTACTGACCTTGTTTATAATCATGGTCCTTTTTCTTGCCTATGTATAAAAAATTTAATGGATGAAGTTGATGCTGCGCATAAATGGTTCTAAAAACCATATTAACATAATATTTATGTATAACAAATCATGCTGAAAGCATCAAGTCAATAAAATTCATTAAAAATATTGTATGTCATTTCTCGCTATTTCGTCATACTGTCACATGGCGGAAAAGGAACTTCCAACTTCTTTTTTGTAAGTAAACACATAGTCTCAAGCTTATTTTTCGCGTGCTTTTTTAATTTGTGATCATGGAGTATGACGTTTTGACGTATAATTTACATACGGATATGACAGCTTATCGTGTATCAAAAGGTTATTTAAATAAACGCCTCACTAATGGTGAAAATGTTATCTATTTAGGTTTTCAGGAAGTGCCAAAAGCTGTGTTAGAATGCCCAACAATTGAGCAAACCCATGCAGAAGGACCCGGAGAACGTTCACATAGATTTTATCCTTTGGAAAGATATCCTGGAGGAAATTTAATGATTGAATTTCGTCGAGTAGCCATTAATCACGATTATTCTTATGGTACAGGCATTCCAGTCTTAATCAATGCAATTGTAGGTGCTGATAAAATTGCTTTTATCAATGTTCACAGATCACCGAGTGATCCCAACAATAACTTTTGGTATTATTTGTGGTGTTTGCTTGCCCGGCTCATTAGCGGAGGTCGCGATGCATATAATAGAGAACACCCACCAATGAAAGGAATTGTACTAGTGGGAGATTTCAATGCAGATATTTCCCGCATTGGTACAAACAATCAAACAGTACACGACAAAGCTCTATATAATTTAATCGATGATTTCAGCTTGAAATCAATGAATGATTCTGGTGATGTAACATTTTTTAATCATAATACCCGAGCCACATTAGATTATATTTTTACAACTCAAAACTTCACATTACATTCACAATACAATGATCTCCTGAATGCAGGGTCAGACCACACTCCATTATTCGTAAGAATAGCTTACCGAGAAACTCCTCTCCAAAATATACCAAGTGGTATGCCCGAATTGAGATTTGGAGAATTTGTTACTGCGACTCGAACAAGAATGAATCTTTTTCATCGCAATCATTATTAAAATTATTAAGTAATTTGTAAATAAATACACAATAAATCGTATTCATCTTTTTCAATGAAAGTAAATTCGCGAAATATTATTGCTTTTTCGAAATACTGTAGATTCAAAAATGAAATATCGTTGAAATCATTTATAATTGAATTTAAAAAAAGTTGAGCATCGCAAATTATATATTATTTTTTTGGCTGAATTTCGGGTTTGCACAGCTTTTGCTTAATTTTGCAAAAAATTTGCATTTGCTTTTTTCATATTTTAATTACATGAAATAGTGATGATTTACACATTTAAATAAATTTAATTGAGTTGTATGAAGCTCATAGAAAAAGATTGACTAGATGATTGAAGATAAATAAAAATAATAATAAGTAATAAGTTGTTGTGAACAACCTCCAAAGTATGAGTTGTAATTTCATTAAAATCTTAGAGAGGGAAAGATTTATTTATTCATCATGCGAAAATCTAAGGATTATTCAAAACAAAAATGATAAAATTGTTTTTTGGCAGAACAATGAATTGATAAATATAATTAAAATTAATGAAACAAAATCGTAGCATTAACGCTACAACTCGGTTCGTTTGTATTTTTGTTAGATTGCCATCGATTGAAATTTACAATTCTTTGGCCAATCAGAATGGCTCTTGGATTGAAAAGTTAAAGAAAAAGACAATCAGAGGGGGGAAGCACATTTGACCAAGAAAGTTTAATTCATTTTATTGGTGTCTCTTTAGCGATCTTATAGATGGAGTAAGCCCAAAAATACAAAAGACCCGAGTACTCTAGTTAATGATGGTTCAAAGATGATTGGTGAAAATAGTGTGGATAAACGGTTTCTTTATTTTACAATTAATTTACTTCTTCAACAATGGACTTGTTAATGAAATAAAGTCAATTCAATTGCGTTATGTTACTATTTAAATAACTGTGAAGACTTGATTCTGTGAAAAAAAAGAAATTAAGAAAATTAATTAGCATCGATATTAGATGCAAAAGCAATTCAAATTTACCTTCAGCGTCAAAACTGTCACTTGCTGACTGTGTATCCATTAGAGAATGTCGATTATTGAAATATCATCCAGTTCCTTGACTAAATAAGAAAATTTCGGTCTCTCCCATGAGTTAAATCTCCAGCATCGTCTCATCAACTTGTAAACTTGATTAGGGCACTTTGATGGCTGTTCAAGTCTATGGCCTGCTTCAGCAAAGTGTAAAGGTTACTTTGGTCAACCTCTTGATATGGTAATAATCCGAGAGTGAATATTTCCCAAAGAAGTACTCCGAAAGACCAAACATCACTGGAACTGGAATAAATTTGATAAATTGCTTCAGGAGCCATCCATCGCACTGGTATTACACCTTCAGTGGTTTTCCGGTAATAGTCAACAGATTGAAGAATTCGAGCCAGACCAAAGTCAGCAATTTTCATAATATTATCCTCAGCAACCAAAATGTTACGAGCAGCAAGATCACGATGAACGCATCCTTTAGATGCCAAATACTCCATTCCTTGAGCAATCTGAGATTTAAGAATAGAAAATATAAATATTAATAGAAATAACTAACTAAATTCAAAGATGCATTAAATGGTAACAAACCTGGAGTGCAAATGAAAGGAAATCTTTTGGATAAAGTTGCTTATCGTTGTCGAAATTAACTGCGTCAGGTCTATGAGATTGAAGAAAGTCGCGCAAGTTACCACTAGTTGCATATTCCATGATTACATAAAGAGGTCCTAGATGAAGGAAAAAACAGGTTTAGTTAAATTTTTCATGAAAATGTAACAAAGAATACATGAGATTGTATACGAATTACGGAATTTGTTTGTTTTCTCACTCTCTTAATTTATCTCTATATGGTGTTTTCATTCATGTTTACGTGAGTTATGAGAAAATCATTTTTACCATTTCGAGTACAACATCCGATTAGATTGACTATGTTCAAATGTTTGCCGATCCGTTTCATAACTTCCATTTCTGAGACAAGATCAGTCCTTTTAGAGTCATTAGATGGATCGTTTAACATTTTAATAGCAACTGCCATAGTATCTTTTTTATCTTTACCAACGCCAGTTAGCTCTCCTTCATAAACTCTACCAAAATAACCCTGTCCAACAGGCTTGTGTAACTTCAATCTTTCTCGTTGGATTTCCCACTTTTGATCAACTAGAATATTCAGCTCCGCGGTCGGATCAGCAATAGAATTTACGGGGTCTTCTGAAATGTTGTTCCTTAGAATGAGCTTTTTTTTATCACTTTTAAAAGGCAAAATATGGAACAAATAAATGACCCAGTGAGGATTATACCGATGAGGAATAACTGATTTACAACGAAAACTACTTGGTTTCTTGGTGAAATCACATTAACGGTGACCTTGAAAAACTTTACACTTAGATCACCTACTTTTTTGCACTTGTATGAACCAGCATCTTTCTCGGATATATTTGGTAATCGGAAGAGGTAGGTTGCTCCATCCTGTACTAACCATTTCTCCATTTCTCACGTTCCTCTTTGAACCAGAAAGCAAGTTTCAAGGGATTTGATTTTTTCACACAAGATAAGACCAGGTTATCGCCAGCATTTAGTTTAAGATGAGACTTCACTGGGTCTGCATTGGACTAGATTGAGATAAATTAAGAAGAAGATCGAAAAATACAGTTTAAACATCATTCAGAAACTTATTAAAATAAATAAACTTATTAAACCTAATAAAAAGTGTAAAGAAACATGAAGCTGGGACCAGGGGAATAGCATTGTGCAAAAGATTTTGCAACAAGTTCAAATTATATTGGTCTGTCAATATAGCAATTTTTAAGCTGCTGTTATTAAGATGAAAAGATGATACCTGAAACATGAATTTTAATCTTTTAAGATGATTAGTAAACACGAAACCCATATTGGCGCCAACACTATTGTGTCGAGTTACAGTTATGTTAACGAATTGCACCAGCTGACAAACCCCAGCAACCAATGAGATTCTGGCGCCCTTTATAATTTGATGAAATTAAATATCTGATATTTCCATCTTCCATCAATAAAGCGACAAAAAGCTCCTCGTGATTATCGAAGAAATGCTTGTTTTTTTGATTGATCCTTGGGAGCAATTGATGGCTCTACGGGCATTGCATTAAAAATCGTTAAACTCCTGTTACATTCCAGCTGGAGAAAAGCAAGAACAAGGATGACTCAAAAGAGCTCTTGTGGAAACCTGGTGATAATTGTGTAGCTGTCTTCAAAGAAGATGGACTTGAATATGAAGCTAAAATAGTTAGTATCGATCAAAAATATGGTTGCTGTGTTGTTAAATATTTAGGATATGATAACGACGTGCCCAATATCTTCAAGATTTAAAACCATCACGCGGATTGCAGTCACAATTAGAACAGATGCAGCTAGGCTTTGTAAATTGTGAATTAGAGGATGAAGAGTTATCCAGAGGAATCCAAAATATAGACACTCGACCTGAATTTATTCCTGAGAGTCCTCTTCAAAGTCAAGGAACAACACAACAACTTACAAACTCAGTTTATGTGTAAAGTGTAAAATACTAATCATTGAGGCATAATTATAAATTTATTCAATGTTTCGATCTTTTAAACACATTATTATCAATTTTTATTTCATTGTTTTATCTTCATTTTGCAATTCGTTTGATTCATAATTTACCGTGATCTTCCAGAGCCTGAAAACGTTAATGTATTAATGCCTGCTTGAACAATCTTGTTCAATCTTAATTTGAAATTTGATTACTAGCTCAGTGGTTAGAGAAATAGTGAAATCAAAATTTTGAAACCTAATTATTTCCATTTTCAGCTCGAACCCGTGCCAAGGAGAAATGTTGTGATAAAAGCTAAAGATTGGGAAGTAATCTGGTTGTTAATAGTTATTTTTTCAATGGTCCCTATTGAGGAGGAGTTATATCGTTTTGAATTTGGTCAAATTTTGATTTGATTTCTTTAATTATCAATTGACTTAATTCAATTTTCTTTCGTGAAATTTTAATCCAAAAACTCACAAAATCAAATTAAAGCAAAATTTAAGGTTAAATTTGGTCTAATAAGGAAGATTGAAAATCATGAATTACGCTGCCCGAAGAATAGTGAAAATAAGCTATTCCCAGTGCGGTGCATTATCTCAATGGTGACTGTAACTTGAAATATTTAAATAACAATTTAAGCAAGGCAACAGAGAATTAAAACTATCTATCACTCTTATCTGCTTCTGGTCTGTAGCAGTTGATTCTGATTGACAATAAGGAAGCTGATTCAATGCAATATTGTATGCAATATTAGTGATCAAATACATAATATTGCATATATTTTAATCCTGTGATACGCTTTGACTTCCATCTGTTGTTACATTACAGCACTACTTCTCCTCCTTCTTTTTATGCATGCAATTTTCAATCAGTTTTCATCTCTATATATGCATAATTTAAAGTTGATCTAAATCAATCTAAATTTTATCATAAATTATTGTCCAGAATTTTTCATCTCAAACATCGTTGCATTGCTATTTGTGTCATGTTAGGTTGTATGGATAATCAGACACCGCCGTCTCATCAAAAAGAGGTAAGTGTTGTACATAATATTTCACCCCAAAACTAACCTTTTCATTCAATTTTTCAGAGCCTACCGGAGACAGTTCGCCAGATAATGCCACCATTTATATTCAGATTTTCTGATGAAGATTTAGCTCGTTTGGCATTTCACTTAGCTAACTCAATCGAAATTCAAAGATTATCGCGCAAAATAAAGAAGAAGATGCTACGGGAAGAACAGGAAAGGGTAAAAAGGAGAAAAAGGGAATTGAAGCGACGTTTTATCTGATTTAACTGCTGTTTTTCATCATGTTCCTTTAACCGCATCCGATGAAATATGTGTTTCTGTGTTTTTGAATATTAAGTGTACAACGTATACAATTACGCTCAAATAAATTCAATAAAACAATTTTCAACCAGAAAAACAGATGTCTTGAATCCTTAAACACCACTATCTTTTGTTAATGGTTTTTCGTGGTTTATTAACCACTATCTATGTTTGTGGTTATTCGTGGCTATAGATTTATGATATTTTAATGGAATATAAATACATAGAGTACAATTTATCAACAAAAACAAAGACATTTCACAACAAACTAAATAAAATGAATGTTAGCCTTCCATCGATTCATCATGAAATTTCCCTAATCAAATCGTACCAGGAGGGGGTCCCTCCCTTGTAATTTTTGAACAGGCTAATATCATCTGAATAAGATGAAGATTCTTCAATCAATGGTTGTAGATTTCGATTATCCATTTCACTTTCAAGAATCTCTTGTGATAGACAGTAGTCTAGTTATTATTACAAAGATTAAATTCTTTAGCATAAATAAATCAGTGCGGATTCAGACCTGATTTATGAATTTAAACATGAATCAGAAATGAACTCAGCCAAGGTACTGTCCGAACTCAAATCAAAAGGTACACTTATAGTAATTTTGCAGGGTAATATTTCAGGTAAAAAAAGTATCAGATTTGATTACAAAAAAGTTGATCGTTCAATAACAAATCTTATCAAAATTGTAACGCGTTTGTATAGTCAGTTGTTTGATTAACCTGTGCGGACATATTTTGATACCAATTGTTCACAATTGTCCAATTCTTTTAAATCAAAAGATGAGAAACTTTGCTTGCTATGTGTTAGCTTCTTGTTACTCATGAATTCTTCATTATTCATTTTCAAGGGCATTAGGCAATCATTTGCAGATCCTGTTCAAATTAAAAAATTTTCCATAATATGCTCATAACTTCCGGCGATCCATAGATCACATTTTTTGTGTACTGTTATGTAACTGTACGCCACTTGAAGACTTACCATCTCATGTTGAGCTTTAATTTAGATATTGAAGATATTTTAGCTTATTTGTTTAAATGTTGAACTTTTAATATGCTTGTGAATGATTTACCTGCTGAATGTTTGACAGCGATATTTTCATTTTGTGACAGCAGTGATCTCAGAAGAATTTTCAATGGTAAGTATTGATCCTGTTAATTATAAGTTATGACTGGTAAAGAATTTATTTTTATTATATTATTACAGTCGTTATTCCCAAAATGTCACTATCTCAAATTGTCCGTTGTCATAGTTTCTAATGCTGACCAAGAAAAACTTGCTGGTTGGTACTAAAAAGCCATATTAACCATAATAACATGACACCGTGACGGTGTAGTATTGAAAGGGGTTAATTCTCAGTTGCTCACTTTTTATGAACAAATGATTTCATAAAATAAATTCATGCTTTACCGGTCATAGCTTGTACGATACTTTCGATGCTAATTAAAATCTTCTCAACAGTTTGTTTAGATTGGAGGCGAATAATTTTAGCTGACAGAGCTTTGCGCCAAAGTGTATGCACAATGGAGACACTACCTCTTTTTGCTCATCCATCGTCAAAAATTCATTCTGCTTTGAATTTTATATGTCAACATTTTAACAAGATTGTAGAACACCAAGATTGGTTGAGCTTTCCTGTTGAAACCGTCAAGTTTATTTTAGGCAGGGACCTTTTCATTTCTTCTGAAAAGCAGATTATAGATGCCATTTTGAAATGGGTCAGTTTTGATGCTTCAAGAAAAGAGTTTTTTGGTCAATTGTTAGAGTTAGTTAGGTGGAGTTACCTAGAAGATAAGCACTTCGAAGCTATTGAGCAAAATATTGAAATAAAATCTTCCGGCTTCGTAGTGCAAAGGCCTCAAACTAACACTCAAAAGGACAGGACGAAGCAAAATTATCTGTTACTTATTGCTGAGAATTCCGATAATAAGTTAATCATCAAAGTTTTTGACAATAATTACAAGCAAAAATTTGAGCGAGTTATTGAACGCGATACTTCAATCAAGTTTGACTTGCTTCATCCAGAGCATTACACTGATATTTGGCTCGATGGAAAAGGCATGATGCGCATTGAATGGTCAAGAAATGCTTATAATCTGCTTATAAAACAGTAATTAAATAATAGAAGATTGAATAAGACGAATTTTTGATTAAGAGACAAAATAATTACTACTTTATTCAGCAAAGGAAAATTTTTGTCAGATCAACCGCGAGTTCGTGAATAGAGAGGGTGAGGTTCAAGAAAGCGCGAGTTACCTCTTGCTGTACACATTGGGTGTAAGTTAGGCTTGACG